AGAGAGAGAGAGAGAGAGAAGAATCGCCCGAACGGTACGTACTCGTTCGATAATATCGAGGGATCGTTGAAATTTTTTTTTACTTTTTTCTTTCGATACATTTTATTTTTCGCTCTCTATTTTTCTTTTCTTTTTTTTTTTTTGCCTCGCGTAACTTTCCAATCGATTGAAAATTCGAGGGAACGAGATTTTCTCGAACGAACGTTTTTCTGTTTCAAAGATTCGACTCGACCGAGGAGATGAAACCTTGACGATGAAACCTCGGTCCAGCAAGACGAACGTTGAACGTTTTGAATAATTCCGGATGCCTTATCAACCGAGGCAGTGATAAGAAGGCACGGAACGACGAGATAATGCGCAGTTCTGCGTATAGCCGGCTCTTCTCTTTATTGTGCCACTATTTCTATTCGAAGCCACTTGTATACATATATATATATATATATATATATATATATTATAGCTTCTTCCCCACTTGCCTACTTTGCCTTATGTAAAATCCGTTTAGATCTCTCGTTCCATTGTTTCGATTAATCGCTCCGATTCCCTCATATCGATCAGCCTAATTATCCGCTTGTTTTTGTTTCAATTTGCTAAACACGCGCCTCGATCAATATTCCTCCGCTGGACATGATATTATTTCGCAAACACTTTGCTTCTTTTTTCTCTTTTATCCAATCTGGAATCCAGAACGATTTCGAGAACAATCGATAAAGCTGCTCCACAACGAAAATGTTAAGTCGTGACCGAGCAAAAGTTCGGCGCAATCGCCAGCTCACGAAATTAGAAAGTGAATATTATTAAATCCTCTCCTCTCGGTTAATTGTGATATCGATGCGGCGTAGAGCTCTGCGAGAGGGAAAGAGAGAGAAAGAGAGATGGGGGAAGAAAAAAAGGCAAAAAAGGAACAAGTCCAGTTTTCTTTCACGTCGATCATGATTTCTCCGATCCGCCTCGGCGCGATCGATTTGTGATCGATAGATGGATGGCCACTAGTCGAGCGGCATTTCTTCGGTGAAACGAATATTTTCCTTTTTCAGCAGCTCGAGTGCGAGAAATCGCGGAAGTCGATGATTTCTTCGCTGCAACACTCGATTGCTGCGAGACTCGATCAATCTTTATCGAATCTATATCTTTACTAACGATCGTCGAGAACGAGTACAACTCGCGTCCGAGCTGTATGTAAGCTCGTATAAAGGAGATCGGCCGCGCCAATAATCCGCTCTTTTAATCATTCCTCCCGTAATTGGATCCGCTCGTTAATATTCACGAAGCGACTAGAGAAAAAAAAGAAGATATTTTCGTTTTATAATCGATACATCGAAGCACAGATTGCTTATGTTGGCGCAAAAATCATACAACGTCCACGCACGATCATTCCGCGTTACATTTTGCAAATATACACGAGTATATACTGCACGAAACTTGATTCTTCTTCTCCTCTCGCTCGGTGTTTGCATTGTAGTTGGACGGGTTTGGGAAGCGGATGAAAGTGAATTATTGAAATCGCCCACCGTGGCGGCGCCCACGTTCCTCTGAAACACCTGTTTACCTACGAATAACACCGCAAGAGGTATCGTTCCACTTCCTCTGCCCCCGTTTCCCTCGAAACATTGCAAACATTTTCAATCGGCGCGTTAAGCGCCGTTCACAACCGCCACGATTTTCCAAATTTCTTCCCTTCTCGAACAACAACAACAATAACAACAATTTCTCTTCTTTTTGTTCACACCATACATCCCGTCCCACATCTTCCGCCCATCGATCGACATCAATTTACAAAAGAAAATCCGTAACGATTTCTCGATTCGATCGTGAATCCTTCTCCCCACGTGTCGCGTCGCTTACGCACGACGAGGAACGCGCCACGAATCGGTCGGAGAGCCTCGGTATGGTAAATGGCACGACCGGGTCGAGCATTTGAATCCCGAATACGTGTAAAAGAAGACGGTCGAGCAGCATTTAGTGAAAGGCAGAACGCGCGTCTTTCGTGGCCGAGATTCGATTCGATCGACGAACCTAAGTCACCGTGTCGTCCCTCTTCGAACAGCCGTTCGCCGTGTCATTTGCACCGTTCCACCGTAAAAAAATATATATATATATATACATTCTTACTCGTCCATATCGCGATTAAAAAAAAAAAAATTTCGATCGCTGGAACGACAGGAAAGTCGAGTCGTTTTCCTTGTTCGACTCAGAGATGACGATCCTCCTTGTCCCCGAACAGGAGGGCAATCCACGGAATTGAATTAAACAACGAACTTCTCACACGGGAGAAGGATTCCCTAGAGTCCGTGGAAAGGACAATCGAAGAAATACTCGGCATATATTATGTCCCTGTGCACATCTTGATCCCCGTCGTAGCGAGTTTTCGACAATGCCACTTGTGAACCGTGCTTAATTCCACACCGTGACCTAAATTTCAATGGCGTGCGCAAAGCTGTCGTCCTCGGGGCAACGGGAATCGCGATACCGAGTAATCTACTCTACCGAAAATATCGAGACCGACTTTATCGAACGAAATCGAGTGTAGAGGCGATTAAAGGGAATCGAATCGAATCGAATCTGTGGAGGATCAAGAGTCGACTCGATCGTATAATAATATTTCGTGGTAAAAAAAACGAGAGCTCCGTAAATTATCAGAAAGCTTATCGAAAAGAGAAAAGAGAAAATCGAAATAGAATAATGGGAATTGGTTAATGGAAAGAGACTCGAGTGCCGCCGGTGGAGAATCGTCTGTCTCTCCGTGTCAACGTTGGACGTTATCGGGCGGAAAGGCCGTGTCATTGAGTTGCAAATTTATTTCACCTCGACCATTGGCCGGGATATTTCACAATTTATTTACGGCGAGGCGACACAGCCACTCTCGTTCGGCCTAAAAAATACCGAGATCCTGTTTCCCGCCTCGTACACGCGGACCTCGAACCGTGAAACGCGTGTGTCACCATTTGCGGATATACACCTCGCGCGGAGTATCTCCCGTGGGCCTCTTTCAACTAGGGACTCTATTCGACGCGAACAACCTTCCTCCACGTCTGGACTCGCGTTTCGATTCGAACCTTAAAATTTTCAAAAAAAAAATATTTGAGAAATTAGCGTAACCGAATAAAGAAGAAACTTTCGCTTCGATTAATTTCTTTCTCTCGCACGATTAAGTACCGAATACGTTGCGTCGACCGTGTCCAGGTAGGAAAAATCGAAGGGGGAAAGGTATCCGCCGTGAAAGTTGAAAATTGAAATCTCTGTACGCGTGTAACAGGTAAATTAATAAATTAATAAAGACACATTGATTTTTTAATCAAGTGGGTGGGAAAAATGGGATTAAATGAAAAAAAAAAAGAGGTTTCCGTTAGAAGAGAAAGGATCTATGATAATTGGGCAGAGGCAAGAGGGAGGAAAAGCTTGTAGAAATTCAATTGGTGGCAGCGTCAAAAAGCAGTACGAATACATTGATAGGTTCACCTGCTTTCCATTTACTGTTTCTTGACCTGCCGTAAACCGTGGAATTTAGGTACTCCACTTGTCGGCAGCAATTAACCATCCTGTCAACACTTTCGCGCAATTTTTATCTAACTGTAACTTAAATTTATCTCGACACCCCTATGCTGCCCCGATCAACTTGTCGCGTATCTAACTCCTGCGATGATCGATCTTCCTCAATTCTAACCGCTTTGAGCCACGTGATATATACCGGCACGAATCGAGTAACGAGATTAGATAAAACGTCGCAAATATCGTTGTTTATCGGATCGACGTGCGTACGAGGCTAATGTTGATGTATCCGTTTGAAGAAAAAAGAAAAAAAAAAAAATTCGATTATCGCGAATGTAATAAATTTTTTTTTCATTACGAATAACGAAAACGAAGGAAAAATTTGCGAAGAAGAGAAATTTTCTTGAAAAAAATTTCTTCATATTCCTCGTTCGTTCGAAACGTAAATTCTTTCGTCTTCCAATCAACTCGTCGACACTTTCGCGGTGAAATTTGCACGGGTGTCGTCAACCCTGACATTAAATCGTGGACGATGTCAGGGCTACGATCCCTGGGAGTAGCGTGTGCGGGGACGAGAAAAAAAAGAAAGAACGAGAAGTTGTGCGCTCTGGCACGGTGGAAGGCTGGCTAGACCGACAGTCAGTTTTCATGTTCCCCAGAGTGGATAACCGCGTAAAAGTATCCCGTTACGGTAGCCCAGATACCGGATTACGAAGCACGAATTGTCAATCGAATCGTGAGAGACTGCGAGTTTCCGTTGCGGAAAAAGCCGACCACACTGGCCGCCCTCGAGGACCGCAAGAATTTCGCGATACGATTTTTCTTCTTAGATGCTATTTCTCGGATAGAATGATTTACTATTTCTTTCGTCATTCGGAAAAGATCAAATTTTCGATTAGCGATAACCATCGTGTTACGAGAAAAAAAAAAAAAATCCAAATAGCGATAATATGATAAATCGTAGGAATCATCGAACGCGATATTATTCCGAAAAATCGAATAGATTAGTCGAGGGAAAAAGGCGCGTGTTCCGGGGAAACGATCGCTAATAACGTTCACTTTCGTTCGAAACAACGCCTCGAGGTTACGGATGCCTGATAAGATGTATGTTGTAACAACACGGACCAATGAATCATAACATCGATAATGTAACGAGGGAATCGGGAAGGCCGGTGAATGGCGAATTTACGTTTCCGCGGGATACCCTACCTACCTTCCAGCTGCTTGGTAAACAATCGTATCCCGATACGCTATTAAGGTCACGTCGAAACGAATTTGAACGAAGCGAAACGAACTCGCTACGATTAATTTCACTCGGTCAAAATAATGGTGGAAAATTCTGACGATTCTGATTCGATCGTAAAAAAAGAAAAGAAAAAAAGAAACGATTATTCCCGGGGAGAAAAGTTATCTGGCAGGAATTGTACTCGCTCGAAATTATTAATTAAACAATCTAGCGGGGCTAGATAAGATAGAAACTTGAGTCGTGAGTTCGTTTCGAGAAAACTAACCTCTTATTTTCGTCTCTTGTGGGTCCAACGGTGGAAAGCGTGGGTGGCTCTGCTGTCCCGGTTTCTTCAGCAGGACACCCACGATCTGCGGTGCCATCATCATCTTGACCAATCCTCTGTTTCTTCTCCTCCTCGCGTCGATCAGTTCCTACGAATCATCGTCCAAGGATAGATCCTCGCGTTTCACCGGTATCGATACGTATCCAAAGAGAGGAGGAGAAATAGAACGAGCATCTCTTTTACAACGAGAATTACGAATTAAAAGACCCCCCCGCTCTCTCTTTATCTCCGTGAAACACTTTTTCAACTCGACAAGTTGACCACTACTCGGGTCTTAGAGGCTGACTCCGGCTGAAATTAAAACGACGGGGCCAACGAACGAGAGAGGCGCACACCGGGAGAGCAGCTGCCGATTCCGTTCAGTTTAGACCGTCTGTCGTTTTATTGGCCAAGGCGACGCGTCACTTTAGCGAGGAACAAGGCGCCAGACGAGGCTCCTTTCCACTCTCTTTACGTTTAAATTTTATCACTCTATCTTGTCTCGTGGTACACGCGAGGCCTGACCTTATCGCATGACCAAACGTTCCAATGGCCAGAACACGCTGTCTCGTTTCGATTGATCCTTTTGATCCCGCTTCTATATACCGAACCGAGTGTATACAACTTTTTCTATCTTGCTTTCGTTCAGACGTCAGATTCCGATCGATAAATCGCTTCTCCGTTCCTCCTTTCGTCCTCTTCTCTTTGCGATCGTGATCACGTATCACCTGTTGACACTAGCGGTCACTAGCTTTCTTTGACGGCAGGCCTCCACTCGTTCGACGACAATGGCCGGCCGTGATACAGACTGTAATTATTGCAAACAGATAACGTTATCAACCGGCTTTTGCCTTCGACGAGCGGTTAACGAGCGGACCGACGAATATCGTCGGCCAATTCTCTCGTCCACGGTTCTCGTCGACCTCTTCCCGTTTAACCCGTTCTAGAAAGCCTCGATTCGAGTGGCACGACATCGAAATTAACTTTATTAACTCCCCGTTGCGTTCCCCCCCCCTCCCCTTCTTCGTAGAACTATTTTCGAGAATTCGTTCGTTTCACAACACACGGCCTCTCTTTCTTCCTCTCTTCCTTTCTTTCTCCCTTGACAACTTGTACCACTCGACTCACTCTTTCCAACAACGAATCGAGAGAGAAAGATGATTATTCCATATAACGAACAACAACACCGAAGATCCTCACTCGTCGTCGTTCGACTATATATATATACTTCCACGCACACTTATACGCGTAAGTAGTAGTTTCTCGTGCGCGCTTAGAAATGGACACGAACGTTTTTTTCGCCCGATTTTCTTCACCCGAGTTTTAACCGAAGAATCCCCCCCCAAACCCCCCCACGCCGCGTTGTCAACGATCGCGGCGAGCGCACAAGAGTGTTTAATTAACGCGTCGATGAGGAGACGAGGAACACGTTTGGTGGCCGCAGTAACAACGCAGTGTAAACGATCGCTGCCTACTATCCAGCATGGCGCGCGCACGACCAACGACTAAATAGACGGACGAGTGCATCGAGCCCGACCGCCTCGTGTTCCCCTTCCACTCGAACCGTCGTTTCTCTTTTTCTCTCCCCCTTCGACCAACCCTCGGACCTTCCTCCTTTAATTTACACACGCGTATCCCTTGCATTCGACGCTGTAAACACGCTAATTTTCAACTTTGCTCTTTCTTCCGATCAACTGGACAACACGTACGACGATTATTGATGTATTATCGCAATGTAAAGTGGTTAATAATAATCCAGGAATGGAGAGTGCAAAAAATCTACGGACGGAACATATACGGCGGTATCTCTTATCGAAGATGTCGATAATGACTCGTGATAATAAATCTATTAACGCGTTTTTGTCGAGATAAAATTTCCATCGTGATCGAACGTGAATCGAAACGATGCAAGTCTGCTTTTTACGAAGCAATCGTAATTAATCCATCGCTCGCCAACCCGCGTTTAATCTTTCCTGTTTTCCAACCGATCGATCGAACTTCGACTTCGGTTCTCGGATAAATTGGATGGGTTCCATCTGGATTCCATCTCTGGATTAGAACAGAGAATTGGTTTCGCGTGAAGTGAATGGGCCGCGGAAATGGGTATCGGCGTGACGTCAAAAAGTCTCAAGACCAACGTCTGCGGGAAAAACGAAAAATACGAGTGACACACTTTCACTCTTCGACTCCGCGGGCAACCTGCAGCGGAACCATTGAAATTCCCTCTAATTGCGTGCAAAACGACGCAATGGGCAGGATATCGATAAGAAAAAAAAAAAAAAAAGAAGAAAAACTGAGTCACACCCTCTCTTGTCAATGAAGATAATGATTAAAGAAATAATCGATTCGAGGAATGTTGGTCGGGAAAATGTTAATAATAGCAGGAAGTAATAATCTATTTCATTTTGAATTGTTGTCTAGTTATTCTAATTTCGATTCGTCATTCAGCTATGTCTTTTTCTTTTTTAAAGAGATTTTTACTCTAGATATTAATTGTTATTTTTCTTTTTTCTGTTTTTTCGTTTGAAATAAACGGTTGACGAATTTGAAAAATTTTTGACCGTCGCTTAGGTAGAGTAACGATAGAAAAGTGAATGGGGAACCATTCTTATTCGAGATGATTCAGGTATGATTCAGGATGATCGGTTCTTCCATCATTCCGTTTCGAACGCTATAAACTTGAAAAAAAATGTCGCAAATGTCCTTCCTTATTGCGGGATTGTGGAGAAGACATATTAGTAGCTTCCCATTGTCACGCGAGGAAAAACGGATCAGAGGGGATGAAGAGGGGTCGACACAATGCGGGCAGGTGAAAAAATATAAATCGAATATAAGAAATTACATGCAGATCGGACTTTCTCTCCTATTTGCTTTTCGCATTAACTAATAAACGGGAGGGTATCGTAAATTTGGCGAATACAATTCCTCCAATAAAAAAAAAAAAAAAATGAAGAGGAGAAAAAAAGAGAGAAAAAAAAAAGGAAAAATAGTAGACGAGGGATGAAAATTCAGAAAAATAAGCTCGACCCATAATATAAAGCTGTCTCTCTCCCTTCGTCTGGATGAAATGTTCTCGATATACCTTTTAATATTATCGATCGGCAATGCGACCAAGCACATCAGAGGTAATTGGACAATGCACCGATCCATATCGAGGCTGCATTGTATCGACAATGGTGCTAGGCGATTGAGAGCTCTCGAATGTCGCCTGCGATTCGATATCAGTATTCCTGTCGCATATTTGCGGGCGCACAAAGAGATGGCCGAGTATATTAAACCTCCGTGGCCACAGTCCAATTCGAGCACGTCTGGCAATAATAACGTTTCTTTTTCTTTTTTTTTTTTGTTATATACATATATATATATATAAAAGCTATTTTTATCGAGTGGAAAAATGCGGCTGCCGTTATATAAAATGGCTCCCCAAAGCGAGAGTCGGAGGAGAAGGAAAGAGAAAAAGGGAAAAAGAGACGGTGCCAAAAATATCCGATGCGTAGTTCGCACGAACGAACGAACCGTCGTGCCGTTTCGATTCCTACCGCTTGAGAAACGGGCGCGTTTCCCAGCTAGAAATAAAATTTATCCTCCTGCCAATTAAAACGTTGGGCGATCTGGAAAATCTGGAAATTTTTCTCTCTTAAAACAATTATCCTCTCCCATCACTTTCATCAACTTTCTTCGTTCGAGGAAAGAAAATTAGCCAATTTGATCGACCCAACGAGAGCTAGAGTTACGTAGATCGTCCGATATTAATCCATAGGGAATCGATACGGTGTCTAACTACCTTCTAATTGACTCAAGTGTCGCCCCGAGTCCACCGAGAAACACCTAAGCTTACCTCGCTGCTTAACCTGACTCTGCATTGATCGATACTCGCGTGGACGCGTGCTGGACACGCACGGTTTAAAACGTGGCTTCGCAAGATCTCGCAATCGGCTCAGAAAATCTCCGCGAGACGGGTCCCTGAGTCACGATACAAATACAGATTATATATACAAATACAGATTATATATATATATATATATATACACACACACACGCTTGCCACACAATCCATTAATTAATTAACTTCGTGTATAAAACGGTTACGAGGTGGTTGGAGAAACAGAAGCATGGAAAAGCAGTCGTTGCAACGTTTTAATTTCCGCTAACTCGTTCTATGACTCGATGTCACAATACGAAATTATTCGCGATGGAAAGATACTGGAGATGGAAGACAGGATCGAGATTAATCGCGAATATGGATGGAGATAATAAGGAGATAAAAGAAGAGGTTTTTTTCTTTTTTGGATCGGTGGAGGAGATCACGTGGATCACGTGGTGTGAGAAGTGTCGCGCGCGCGCGCGTTGTCACCGCAACAGGAACGCGCGGTTGGACGCGCGAATCGATAAGAGGCGAGTAAAACGTGCGGTTTTACGCGAGTGTTAAGCGTTGGGCCGCTTTTACTTTCACCTTTGTGGAAACGTGTGCCGCGCCCTGTCTTTACGGATCAATTATAATACGTCGATTAAACGTTTCGAAATTCCAAAGTCTGACTGTAATCCGTATTTACCCCGTGTTAAGAAGATTCTTAAATATATGTATAATCTCTCTTCTTCTCGATCTCACACTGTTTTCGCATCGAAATAAAAGTTATTCGAAATTATCATTGATCAGCGAGAGATGGATGGTGGATTTGTTATCATCGAGCGATCAAGATCGATACAGATAAGTCAGTTGCGACTTCGTTTCGACGCACGAATGAAGGAGATATATATATACGGAATTTTCCATAAACAGAAAATGAAATTTATACGCGTTCTATTAACTGGATATATCCCGACAAACGGGATACAAATTTAGACGTCCGCTTACGCGTCGTCTGCGCACTCGTTAAGTCGCTCTCGCGACTTTTCTAATATTTATTTTCCACCCTCGTCGTCTGGAAACGACGATGACAGTCAGGTGAGTCAGATGGATCGTAAAAGCCAATGAAACTTTGCAGGCTTTTTTCTTTTTTTTTTTTTATCTTCGATTTAAACGCCGCGCGGGATCAGTGACGACCATCGTCACCGTCGCCGAGCGCTATTAGCTCGACGGGCATTCCTTACGAATTTTCTAACTTCCCGTCAGATAGGATTTGACGAATTTCAGGAATCTCATCGCTTATCGGAAGAACTTTGTAACATCCTGCGACGAGGCGACAACGGGAAAGTTTTCACGATAAGTAGAGAAAGACTGGCAGCTCTTCCTGCTAAATATATTTTTACTCCCGTTGACTCATCGTTGAATTGCAAAAGGTCTGGCTCGGAACAACCGATTCGGTGCTTTGCCTCTTCTCTTCATCAGATTATGAAAAAAAATTCTACAGACCTGGAATAATAAATTTCCCGTATTGTTCCGTCTCGAAGATCGTAATCGTGGGACGTAGCTGAACGTAGCGATTGCACGCTTGTTACTGCTGATGCTTTCACTAGCCACTCGTACATTAAATTCGTTATGGAGAATCCGTGATATTACGAAAAGAGCATCGGTATGCAGTTTAACGAACATTTACGTCTCATTATTCGTAATTCTATTCAATTTCCTTGATAGGCGGAGGATGAAATTACGGAAATTCAGCAGAATGAGACTACTATGCACCAATTCGCATCAAAATCTTTTCAGAAGTGAATAAAGAATTACGATATAATTCGATCTTTTGCTCTAGAAAATATTCGCAACGATATGCGCGCGTATCTAACGTTAATGCATAGAATATATTATATATTATGTATATATATATATATATATATATATATATAAAATATATATAATATATTCGGAGAAAATAACTCGTACGCTATCGCAAAGGCGGTAGTTGTCAAACGAAGTCACTGACACAAACTCAATAGCGCCGATGAACTCTGACACAGGCGGTACGTGACTAACCGAAGAATTAATCAGCGAGAGTCACAAATCTTTATTTAACTTATGCGGAAAAGATTTAATGCACGCTCAAAGGTGTTGATGCAATTTCTCCTCGTCGTATGATGAACCCACGCATCTTTTCCCTCCTTTCCGCTCTTTCGACGCTTGTCTTCTCGCGAATAAATCGAGCCGCGACGACACTCGAAAACGGCTGGACGATGAATCATTGCGTTGACTAATTGAATTGTAATCAACGGAATGCACGAACGATGTGTTTTCGAGTTAAAAGTATTTTCGTATCGTTAATATTTATGCGAATTGACCTATTCATGTACGATATTTCAATCAGATTCATCGAATGTAAGTATATAATTGATTTTTATATTTTTGAATTTTTTAAAGGTTTTACACATTTATGATAGACAATGGATTCTCGAAATAAATTTCGATTATCTGTACCACTTTGCTATCATTTCCAACGTTACCGATTCAGGATAAAATAAAAGATTACTGCATTACGAATAAAAATGAGAATTTGGATTAACATTCTTTACCACGCGTAAAAGAACGATAAATTTTAATGAATTAATAAAAATAATGAATTAGTTTCAAATTTAATAAATCGTGATGTTATAAATCATTATATGACGTTAAGAAATTATAAAATTAATGAAATATAAGTAGAATATTAAAAATTATAATATTTAAATAATAATATATATTCTACAAGTAAATATTTTATTATTAATATATCTATCATGGATGCTCGCCTTTATCCGCTGAGCGGTTACCGAATGGGAAAAGGCATGAGTCAGTTTTATTTTGGCCGTT